CCCCCCCCCCCCCCCAATGACCGACTCACTAGGCTCCGAGCATTCGAGTCATGGCCATTTTCTGAAAAAGTGAAATTAGGTAGCGACTTTTTCACCGGTTCATTGTCTATAATGCCATACATTTTATGTATCCGCGGATAATTCATACCTTAGTAACAAACTATTTTTAATTTTAACGCATAAAATGATCTTAAGCAAGTGACTGAGTTGAGCATAAAATATGTAAAATGTAGCATTGCTTGGTAGGAATAATAAGACCGCCAGGAATACGTGCTTTTTCAATGACTTTTGTGCAATGAACATTTCTACACTCCAATGTCCAATACTAGCGCTTAGAAAATTTTACTTCGACCTCTCGAAGCACTAATCGTCCGCTTTCCAATTAAACGTCGAAAAAACGTCGAAGTATTTATCCCTTCATCTTAATGTCCATTGGCCGTTCTGCCCAATCGGAGCACGTTAGAGATTCGCGCATCCGGGTATACCCGAAAGCATCGAGAGCAAGAATTTAGCATAATCCGAAGCTTCGAGTCATTGGCACGATCGAATTATTTATTCACTTATCCAATCATCACAAATAATATTTAATTCAAGTGCGATACTTAACGGGACGACTGCGCGCTTAATGCTTAAAGCCTGCACTTTCGTTATTCATTGGACGCGAGTTAATAAGGAGCACATGATGCTTAGCGGCCGTCGACTCGACCCCTCGACCGACAGCAGGCAACAGAGCACCCAGTTGTTTCTACATGAACAACGCGATCACCGTGTTCGCTTTTGGGGGTATCCCCCGTGGGGATTGGTAGGGGAGGTCTCGGGCCACCCTCGCCGAGGCAGCTGCACCTTGCCATACGTCACGAGATAAACGAAAGCGACGAACCTCCGGTCGACCGACATATCCATGAGCTCGGGCACCTTGCACCAGTGCTCCTCCGGCACGAGGGTGATGAAGATTTGCGAGAAGTAGACCCAGGCGACGTAGAACGCGAAGGGTATCATGAGGCAGAAGAGGATCTTTTGGTAAGTGCCAAATTCGCCGACGTAGGGCAGCAGCTCGTCAAAGTCTACGTCCCTGTCCTTGGGTGGGTCGTCTTTGTGTTTGGGCATCTCGGCTACTGGCGAATCGAGGGTCCGGCCGACGACGGGCCGCGACTCCTCGGATGGCTCCTCGGCCGGCTTACTGCCAAACTGCTCCTGGGGCGGCATTGCAAACGGTCGGCGAAGGCTCGATCGTCGCCCGTACGTAACGCGAGTCCACCTGTTCGCACCGTGACAATAAAACTGGAAAAGCGTCCGAGCGCGTGGCTGCCTATATAGCCGTAGTCTAGGAAATCCTCCGGTGGTGCTCCCCTTCCCTCCTCCGCCACCTCCTCCGCCACCGCCACCTCCTCCTCCTCCTCCTCCTCCTCCTCCTCCTTCTCCTCCTTCTCCTCCTTCTCCTCCTTCTCCTCCTTCTCCTCCTTCTCCTCCTTCTCCTCCTTCTCCTCCTTCTCCTCCTTCTCCTCCTTCTCCTCCTTCTCCTCCTTCTCCTCCTTCTCCTCCTTCTCCTCCTTCTCCTCCTTCTCCTCCTTCTCCTCCTTCTCCTCCTTCTCCTCCTTCTCCTCCTTCTCCT